GTTCAAAGGCCTGCTTGCAAGTTGACAACCTGCAGTTAGCAAGTCCTTATTTGATAAATTTTCATAGATAATTTTTCTCTCCACCCACAACAACAGTCAGTATATTTGTACATCTATAAAGTCTTCCATGAAAGAAATGAAATGTATATACATTGACTTTAATCTGTCCTTATCTATCTTGTATACCTATTGTATTGTGTATCTATGTCTCATCATGTTACAGTTTCTTTAAGCCCTATGTATTATCTGTTTCCCTAAAAAACAAAAACCATAACTTTTGCTTGTTTTCTTCTCCAGATTATTTTTTAGTCATGCCTTTCCAAATGTTGGGCTATTTTCTCTGCACTGAGAGAAACAAAACAGATACTGTTGAAATGCATACATATGCTTTTAAATCAGGGTGGAACTTAGTCAGGATGCTTTAACTGCAAAGAAGAAACATGTTCTTCATATTTCTCTCTTTCATATATATATATATATATATATATATATTTATTGTGTGTGTTTTTTAATAAAATGCACATTGTATGTCTGTTGAGTCTTTTGGGTAGTTTCTGCTGGTGTTGAGATATTCTATGTCCATGTCATTTAATAAAACATGTTTAAGTGAAGGATTGATGCCTAAATATTTATATAAATGTACTCACATCTGAGACATTCTTTCTGCCAAACATATATGGGAGGGTTATGTAATTATTTATGGCAAAGAAAAGAGAATTGCCAATCTGAGGTCAAATTTAAGCTTTGACTGTTTCTGTTCAGTGAACACTAAAATTTAAAAAAGGTACATATTGCATAAAACTGCCAGTCACCATGCAGCATTAATTCACATATCCACTCTCTCTCCCCATCCTTTATACACACACACACACGAGTAACAAAAAGTTTTTAGACTGACCACTTCTCAAAATCTGTTGAAAAAGTTCTTAAATAAATAAAACTGAGCTGATATTTTTCAGTACCCCCTCTTTTATATATTGCCTTCCACCCACAGTTTTTTCTTTTATTTTTACTCTATATTTTTATTGTTTTTATATTTATGTTACCCATTCAAATGCTTAACTCTGACCACCATTAACATTGCTTAATTCTATAAGTATCATTTTCTTATGCTTTTATTTACATATTTCTTGAGATAATGTGAAGCGTGTCAGTGTGTTCTTCTTTTCTCTAGTCTCTTGCATTTGCTACTGGAATAAGTGTGGCAGCGTGACATTTGCTAATAAATTATCTTCAGGAGGACTCTTATGATGGCAGCACCCAGACTCCCAATGGAAGAAGTTGGGGTTGTGGGGGGGGGTCAGGAAGGAACAAATGAAAGGTTGTCTTTAAGGAAAAGAAATGTAATGTATGACAGAATTAAATGATGAAAAAGAGTGTTTATGCATGCATATATATATATATATATATATATATATAAATAATTGGAACTTACAGTTTTAACTCAAATGGTAGAGTGTAAGCTATAGGTAACAACCAGGCCTGATTCCAAGTAGAAGATACTTCTCATAATTTTACTTTAAAATGTATAATCTTTTTCAAAATGAAGATATTATAACATTTTCTGATCAGTTTTGTCACTGTAAAATCTTGATATCTGCCTGTTGTTGGTGGCCTTTTATCAGATTAAACACTCTATTTGATTTTGGTTTTCATAATGTCAATGTTACTGTTTGTCAAAGAAATGAAAATGAAAAAATATCCTTTTAGTGTAAAAATGTCTATTAAGTAAATGATTGCAATTTTTGGTAGAGATATGACTAAATTGGTAAAGACAATAGAGTTGAACTATGTTAGTGTTTTTAGTAGATTTACAAAGGAGTATTGCTAAATTGGTTCAAATAATAGTTGAAGTATGGCAAGTAGTGCGATGGTGAGACAAGGTTATCAGGCAGCTGCTCTCCTTGGTTTTCTTTATAGTTTGATATTGGAAAGGTGAGGGTTTTCTGAGTTGGGCAAAAGAGGTAGGGTGGAGAGGTAAATTCAGGTCTGGCTTCAATCACTTATCAAACAAGCAAGAGGTAATAAATTATTGTGACCTACAGAAAAAAAAACTAAGCAGTATGTGTTATTAGCAGGCAGCAGGACTCAGGCAGACAGTTGTGATAGATAGGTCTATTTGGTCCTTGCTTTTAATCCTTCTTCCTATGACAGCTTGGTAGAAGGTGGGATGGGGCTTGATGTTGGAGGAGTGGGGTATCCGTCATTGGATTGAATGACTTGCTGGATGGATGTGCAGCGTAAAAAATCTGCTATTCTTAACTTCCTCTTTCTGCTGTAACTTTGGCAGTGGGTAAGAAGGTGGGGGCAATTCAGTTTGTGAATAAATGTCTCAGTAACAGCCAATCATTTAGTGCAGGTGCAGTTGATATTCTTTGCTCTTTATGTAATCAAAATGCAATACATACATGTGTGTACGTGTAGATGTGTGAGTGATTTTATTATATATATATATATATGTGCGTGCACACACACATACACAGAAACATGTTCTTGGAATAGTACTCATGTATTTGTTTTCAAGTTGACTAATTTGGTTGATATGTCAGAACAATCAATGTCATACTCATTTTTGTATTATGTATGAAAAGTTAGAAATATATTGAAAAGCAAAACAAAATGATTTTAGAGACAATAAATGATGTAATGGATAATGTGTCAGAATGAGAAATTGGAGAGCCAAGTTTGAATTCCAGTCGAAATTTGTTACATTCACTTATGCACATATACCCTTGTGGAAAGTCTGATTCCATCTCTTCTTCCCCCCAGCTATGGGTTGGATAGTAGGACAGGCTGAGTTTTATAGGCAACCAGTCTATCACAGAAAGAAATGGCAGCCTACTATGGGAAAATCTGCTTAGTCATTCATGAATCAAAAGAGACATGATCATCCTATGGCACTAAACTAATTGAAATGTATTTCTGAGCAGGGTTAGTGTTGCTATTTTACACTGATTCTTTGACACCAGTTCATCCAAAACAAGGTTGAAAAACTCATTATAAAATAAATCAAATGATTCTTATATAATTTCTACCACTTTCACACATATATACAAACTTAGATCTGCTAATATAAATGCTCATCTACAAACACTTACACTTTTAATAATTTCGTCAAGTGTACATAAATTCCAAATATGAATGTAAATTAACAAGATTGTGACATAAAATCACAGAGTAATAAAATGTATTTATTGTTACACGTTTCATCATCTCTCAAATATACACATATATTGTTAGATTTTATTTTACAAGTCAATGAGATATTAACCTAGTGATATTGGTAATTTTTCAGAATATATTTATTTTAAATATGTGAATTTGTTTAGAATATATATTTTATTAGAAATATTTACAAGAACTCATTTGGTTGCATGAAATTTTATGATGCAGCTTGGAAGTTTGTCATCATATTGTAAATATATAATGATAATAATATAGTCAGTGATATTTATTTTTAATTTTATATATATATATATATATATATATATATATATATATATGGTTGTAATGAAGGTATAAACTCAAAATACACAGTGAGAAATGTGGAATTTGGGAATCAATTCCATTTATAGATCATCTTTTGTTGATATAAAGTGTGTGTGTGCATATATGTATGCCTCTATGTATTTGTTGCGACTGCTTATTTGGCAGAGTTGCTTATTTCTCATCAAATCCAGTGATCAATATTTGAGTTTAGTTATAATTATTTGCTAAGTTTTGCAACAGGTCTAAAGTTGTTTACAGTACCATGTGTTCCTAAGTAGTCACCTTTCTAAGCACTAATCAGGTTCAATGTTGCTTAACTTTAGAGATCAGACAGGAACCAATATTTTTATAAAGATTTGACCAAAATATTTATTAAGCTTAGCTTGACTTGACACAAACCTACAAAAGTGTGACACTCAGTGAGGATCAGACACCCTGTACTTGTATATGATTTTATGAGATGGATAAATCAATGTTGGTCTGATAAATTTACTTATAGTTTATAATTTGAATATTTAGATTTATTGATGATCGCCCACAACATAATGTTCCAGTATCCAATTTTGACCTGTGCTGGATTAATCCCAACTTAATAAATATGTATGTCTACATGTATATACTGGTTTATAAAAATTTGATTAACCTTTAGTAACTAATAGAAAAAATAAACTCAATCAGTATGATTTGTAATAATACAGTAAATTTGAAGAGAGCAAAATTGGACGAGATGTAACTGTTCTCATAAAAATTATTAATTCCTGTAAAAATTTGAAACAATTTTTGAATACAATTTGAAACAATTTTTGAATACAATGTTAAATGATGCAATAGTTTTTAATTGTTTAAAATTTTATATAACATAATTTTCCACAACATGAAATATGTTCTTCTGTTTGGCAATTTGGACACTTCAATGTCATAGCAAAATGAGATTAAGATTACAATTGTTTTTTTAATTACATTTTTTTGTCAAACTGTAATGAATGATTTGGTATTTTTTTTATTTATTGATTGATTTGTTTATGTATTCCCTGATTGATTTTTCTCTTGATTGAGTTTTTTCAAATCTATTGATTGATTTTCACTCATGACGCTTTATTTAATAGATTGATTACTTAACTATTGATTGATTTTTACTTATTGATTCTTAACATTTTTATGTTTATTGATTGATTTTTTTTTTCTTTATAGCTTCTGATGAAGATTCGACAATGAAAAGCAAATCGAAGGACTCTGTTGTCGGAGATGATGACAAAGATTTGGAAGATGAGCCTGATTCTGACTCCCAATCCAGTTTCCATGACAATGAATCAGATATGGAGTCCCAACCAGAAAAACAACAACAAACACAAAAGCAACAACACCAGCAGATATCCCCACCACCACCACCACCACACTCACAACAACGGCAGAGTCCAGAGATAGATACCCAAATTAAGGCAAAGTGCAAAATGCTTCCAGTTCAGTCACCAGCTCCTGTATCCCCAGTTAAGGAATCTCCAAGTCGGGAAATGGCCCCTTCACCTCTCCGACGGAGTTCAGTTATCACAGAAGGGTCACTGACCCAGACGTCCATTACTCTCCCACCGACCACCACATCGACCATCTCTGTGTCGGTGATTACGCGTACTACGTCCCATTCCACCCATACAGTGACACCATCAAAGCAAAGTGTGCGAGACCGTTACAAGCTCATCAATGGAGCATATCGGTCTTTTTTCACAGAGTCCAATCACTGTAGCACCAACAGTCATAATAACAGTAACACAAAGAATAGCAGTCTCCATGTCAATATTCATCATCATCTCATTGGTAACAATGCTATCACGACCACAACCACTGCCACCACTACCACCACCTCCACCATTAACAATCACAAGAGTCACCATAACAACAACATTAATAATAATAATAATAATAATAATAACAATAATAATATTACTATTGCTAATAATAACAATAACAATAATTCCGATCAACCATTGGACTTATCGAAAAAGCCCAAGCCAAAGTCGCAAACCCCACCACCTCGTGTTGCAAATGGAATCAACAGTAGTAGTAGTGGAGGTTTGTCTTCAAGCTTGAAGAGTCTTCAGCAGCGATTTGGCGGAGATTTTCACATCAATGGCACAAATGTGCGTGCAAACAAAACAGTTGAAGAGCAAGTTGGAATGGGTCAGATGCCATTGGGCAACTTTGGCTCAAACCAATTAATTAACCGGAACATCACTGACTATGGAAACAGTGTCAACATTGATCTAAATGCAGCCCTGAAAGGGAGCAACAATAACTCGCTTATTAATCGAGTAGTTAAAGCCCCCACTGATCTGTGTACTGAAGGGATGAACAGTCGCTACACAACGCACCGGTGCTCTTGTCAGAAAGTGTTCAGCAGTCTCTATGATCTCAGTATCCACCTGCAGGAGACACATCACATACCTGCAGGAAGCAAGGATGCCAATGTTATGGAGTATCCGAAACTTGTCCGTGGCCAAGACATGTGGCTCAACCAGGAGTCTGAACAAACAAGGCGTATCCTCCGATGCATGCAGTGTGGTGAGTCTTTTAAAACTCTCCCAGAACTGACGCTGCACATGATGCAGACCCAGCACTACACAAAAATTGTTAGTTCTGATCATGGACGCCGTTCTCACAAGTGCTCATCTTACTGTGACCGTGATTTAGAGAAAGAGTGTATTTTTAAATGTAAGGTGTGTCAGGAAACGTACAGTGACATGGAGGGCCTTGCAAACCATATGATCATGTCTGGACACCACAAGAAACAAATTCTACGTTCTTACAATTCACCAGAAATTCTGTTAAGGGCCAGGCGAAAACGTCCCTTCAGTAGTGAGGAAAAACCTGGTCTTGGTGCTAATCCAACTGTAGCTACATTACTTGAGTTCAAACGGAAGTGTGTCAGCCATGATGGACTGAATAGTCCAAGCTTGAAGTATACGGATGTTGTTACAAAAGAGGATGATGGATACATTACTTGTGAGAACTGTGGAAAATGCATAGAAATGCGGATGTTTGTCGAGCATGTGCGGACTTGCGTGAGGCAGCGTTCAGGGGTCATTGATGCCCTAAAAATGAAACTTAATGTAGAAGATGACCAACGCCGGGTTAAAAAGTCTGAAGAACCATCTTCTGGAACAAACCATGTCCAGGCAAGCCACCAGTCCTCAAATTCCGTCGAATATGATTTAGCTAAAGTGAAAAAAGAACCCAAAGATGTTGATGAGAAACTAGAGGTGTCTAAGGAAATACCAATCTGTAGTCCATCAAAGGTTGAACCTGCTTCTGAAGAATTGGACTCTTCCACCCCAGAAATGAAAGTTGTTCCGGAAAAAATGCAGGTATGTTCTCCTGAGGATGAAGACAGCACCAGCAGTAATGTACGGAAAGATTCTGATAGGATGCTCTTGGATATAATTGATCCAGATAACAGCAGTAATGTTGGGGGACTTTCAGCTCTCCGTGCAATGGAATCATTCATTCAAAAGAGCTTCAAGAATAAATTTGACAAAAACAGTCACAAAGACTCGGTTAGTAGCGGGAATGTCACATCTGTGACTCAGGAGTTGAAACAAAGAGCAACACCAGATAGCCCAACGACAAAATATCTTCAGGTTTCAAACCAACCAAAAGTTGCACCTAAAAACAGCTCCAGTCTACAGAATGTGCCTTCTACCAAGCCACTGCTGTGCAAAGAGAGCAATGATGAATGCTCGGATCCTGAATCTGAAGAACCATTCAAATCAGCTGGCAAGGAATTGAAGTCCTTGTCAGATATGTGTGAACAGATAACAAAACAAACAACTGCAACGACTGTTGTAAAGGTTGAAGAAAAGTCATCGTCCAATTCTACAGAAAACCAAGAAGAAACTCCATTGAGCCCCATGTCTGTGAGTGAGAAGAAACCCACAAAGGAGCCCCTGGAGGAGAAATACCTTCAGTTGCCACCTACCACTGAATCTGATCCGTCTAAATCCTCGGCACTGGATTCTTTGAGTAGCTTTGTCTACGGCCAACCCATGACCTGTGAACACCCCTTAGATAGTCTACAGAAGCTTATAACCAACACGGACACTGTTAAAATGCCATCACATGGTACCCAACCCCTCAAGTGCCAGACAGTTGCATCTTCATCATCTCCAGATATTTCCATTCCGTTGAATTTGTCCACAAAATGTCAGAAAGATGATGAACCTGAAAAGTCTGGTCGTGAAGATTTATCAATCTCAAACAATAGCGCTGATGCGGCCCACGGGGAGATGACCTCGCCGGCCAGCGATTCGGACAGTGGGGACTACAAGTGTCCGGCGTGTAGTCGGCAGTGTGCATCTAAGGGTTCGTGCCGCTACCACCTGAGTCGGTGCCACTTGTCGTCAGTGAAAAAGTTTAGTATCCGGGACCCATTTAGTATGAGCCCATTTGTTTACCTCCCTTTGGACCATACCGCCAAATTTACAAAATATTACGAGATGGCACATGAACTTGCTAATAAAAGTAGTGTCTCTCATGAGCTAACTGCAAAAGGAAAATAGTCATGCTAGACAGACAGACAGACACTTGCTTATATGCTAAATAATTTAACTCATTGTATATGGGGAGTAGTGTTAAAAAGTATGTCTGCCCTAAGATCCTTGTCTGAACCTAATATGAAATAATTCATCAGGTGAGGTCTAGGAGAGATAAATTTGGGGTAACATGTTTGGGGTAATTAAAAAAAAACAAAAACTTAAAGCTGTAATCCTTTACAGTAATTGATAAGAAAAAATCTGAAATTTTTGTTTGATTTGGCTTCTCAGCAACAATGGGTTAATTTCCAAAATAAAAAAACGTGATTATTTCAGCTAATCTATAAACCCTTACATATATATATATATATATATATATATATATATATATATATATATATATATATATATATATATATATATATACACACACACAAAAAAAAAAAAAAAACACATTAAACTTAAATGAATATATGTATATATGTGTGTGTGTGTGTGTGTATATATATATATATATATATATATCTATGTATAGGTATATATACGTCTATACATGCATGTGTTTATCAATTTTGAAACAAAACAGTTTGAAAAAAAGGCCTGCCGAAAATAAAATCAGACCCATGTATGTGTACATGTATATATAAATATATATGCAATATTATTAAAGTTATTGATATATATAAATATTATTATTCTTCTCTCCCCCTCCTTCCACCACATTTTCTCTTCCTCCTCCTCCTGTCTTCATAGGGTTATGGGTGGAGGTGTTCATTTTTTTTTATGCTGTTTCTCAATTTTGAATGTTGACAAAAAGATACAGAAAAAAGACTGAGATTTGAGATGTTTTTTCATCTGAATTGTGAAGAATTTAGGTTACAAAATGCAAAATTATAATTATGATAATGAGTGATTAAATTTATTTGCAGTAGGTTGTAGTGTAAGGGACAGTTAAATTCAAAAACAGGTCAAGAGGGTGGGAAGAACTAAAACAAAATGCAAGTTAAAAAAAAAACAAACAATAACAAAGTAATGTGATGCATTATGGGAGAAAGAAGAAAAATGAAGTTTGAAAAAATAGATTTCTAGGAAAAATAGTAAACATTTGATTTTTTTAAACAAAACCTGGCATATTTATTAAAACAATATAAAGCATACAAGCAAATGAAAGAAAGCAAATGAGAAAAAAAAAGAATAAATATTGCAAGTTAAATAACAAGAAATTACTTGTAATTGAAGAATTTTTTGGGGGAAAAAATGTACAAACCTTGAAGTTAGTAAGAGTTATATATATATATATATATATATATATATATATATGAATGATAAAAGCACAGCAACAAAACCAAAAAAAAAAAACAATTGAATATACGATAAAAATAATGTAATTACAAGATTACAGAATGAAATCAGACATTTCTTCACTTTTCTGTCATTTTATTTTTATTTTTTGGTCTTATGCTCAGTTCATATTTGCATCTCTTTCTCAACCATCACTTAGAAAAAGAATAAAAAAAAAACGGGGAAAGATAAAAAAAAAAAAGAAAAATCACTAATTCTCTACAAGGAACATCATCTCTCGTCATTATTTTTGCTGGTTCTAAGAATCACTTTTGAATAAATCTCTTGCTCCCTGCTCTATAGAAAGACTTTTCCATTCATCAGTCCATTTCAAATTACATTTTTTTTCAACTGTAACATGAATTTGTTTGTTTTTTGTTTGTTTGTTTGTTTTTTTTGTTGAGCTGGTAACCCACAAAAAAAAAAAAAAAAATAATGATAATAAAAGAAATGTTGCTTTGTCCCATTTTTATCTTACTTAAAGAGTAACCACATTCTAACCATAAACAATATGACCTCCACCCTTGGATAATTTTTATTTAACCTTGATTTGCCTATTTCTCTCTCTTTCTCTCTGCATATACATATATACACACACACACACACACACACACATATATAACACTAATTTTCCTCATCATTTCACTATGTACTAAAAGTTTTATTTCAATTTACATTTTACTCTTATAAAGGGTGGAGGAAGATTTTGTTTTTTATTCTTTTGTTGTTAAATTGATTTTATTTTTTATTATTTATTTAAAATTTTTCCTTTTTAAAAATTCAAGTCCCAATCTTTTTCTTTCTTTCACTCTCTATTAAATCCTCTCTTTTTCTTACTCCCTATGCTTTTTTCCTGTTTACTCTTACATACTTTTTTTATACATATCTTTTCCTCTCTTTCTTTCTTTTTCTTCTATTCTATTTGTCAAGCATAATAAAAGAAAGAATGATCTGTATTTTTGCCACATTTTTTAACGATCTCCCTCACCTCTTCCATTCGGTAAGAAATCCAAAGCAATTCCCCCTTTATTTCCATTTCCATTAAAAAAAAAAAAAAGAATTTTTTTTATATAAGGTCATGGCTTATTCACTATTGATGTGTATTACATTTGATAGCAGATATGACTCGAGACTTTTACTCAAGAAAATGACTAGAAAAAGAAAAGAATAAGAAGTCTATTATATGCAAAGATGAAACTGTTCCCTAGGTAATAATTATTACTTAGTGAAGATCAGCAACCTTTTCTTAATGTTATCTTTTAAAATGAGCATTTTCTCATTGTTGCATTTTATATACCAACAAATACATTAAGTTTTTCAATTATCATCTTGGAACAGAACAACTTTGTAAAGTAGGGATCATGGAAAATTTGTTAGGGAAACATTGCAAACAGCCATGGTGAACCAAATTTTATAATGATGCAATTTTAGTAAAAAGTAAATAGGCTATATAATTTGTATAGTAAAACTGCAAGTTTTTTTTAAGAAAATTTTTTATTGAATTTCTTTCAAAAGTATTAGTTTAATTTCACATTTTGATATCTTATGTGGATAAAATGTCCCATCTATTATTTATTCATCACATTTTTTTTCACTCAACTGTCCACAGTAAATGCATAGATTAACTTGTAAAACTCTATGGTAGGTGCCCTAACAGGGTTCTAAATATTATGCTAATACTTATTAAATATGCAAGTATTCAGTTGTATAATGGTAAGTATCTCTCCCTATCATGTTTTGTGACTAGGGTTTTCCTGTTAGGGAGGAACAGTCCATCTTAGAGTTTTACTTTCATTCCTATATAAATATAGAAATGAAAGTAAAGGTCAAAAACAGTTACAGATATCAATGGTTATTGGCTGTTAGATAAATCAATAATACCATAAGAAATTCTTTGTTTATATAGAGTAACTGAAATATAAATCAGTGCATTTAAAAAAAAATCCTTCTTTCTCTCTCTCACATGCAAACATACCAACATTTTTGTAAGGTGGTTATTGTCAAGGCCTCAAAATTAGAGCAGCATAAAAAAAAAGACTGATTAAAGTTCTTGCTTGGATTGAATATTTTTCATCATCTGTTTGGGGAACAAATATTTGATTACTGGAAACCATTTGAATCTCTAATTACATAAACCAATATAACTTTTGAAGATATGTTAGTCTAAAGGGAAAAATTCATTTTTCATATATTTAAGTTTCTCTATTATTGTTGTTAATGATTTCTATTATTTTAACAGTGATTTTTTTTTGTTTTTATTGAATTATTGTTTTATCTCTGATGGCGCAAAAAAAGTTGCTAACTTTGTTTTACTATTTGTAGCTGTAATATAACTGTGGTGGCCGAAATAGCTAAACATTCTACAGTTCCAAATCACCTGACACATTCTCTCTTTAAATTTGACATAATTAAAAATTGGAATTATGACAATGAACCATAATTAATATGGTTAATTAAACCTATTAATCAGTAAGCTGTTCTGTTTGAATTTGTATTTATTAAATATATGAAAAAATCCTTCTTTACACTTGAGGATTGCTAAATACACATGATAATGTTTGAAGAACATATTACTCACCAAAATTCCAATGCAAACAACAAGGATGTTTTAATAATTCATGAAATAAACAAGTACAATAAATTAATGAATATGAATTTGTTTTTATGATAATATCAGATATGAATGGATTAAAATTATTTATAACTAGATGTTATATTAAATCAAGAACAGTTTTTTAAAACATTTTAAATTATTTTATTAAACCCTAGCCTATTTGATTCTCAAAGAATTCTACTTTTGTATTAAAAATTGATATTGTGCTGCTAAATTAGGCCCTGGTAATTTATTGAATTAGGGTTAAATGGAGAAAGGTTTAGTGTGTTTAGTTGGGGGAGTGGTATGTCTAAACTTTACAAAAGGGAAAGAAATGTTCTTATTTTAGCTTACAAAAAGTGAAAGTTTAGGCTGGATAGAGAGTGTTAATGTCCTGAAAGAGGATTTGTCTTTATTTAATTTTTTATTATTACTGCTTTATGGCATTTAATCTGTATATGTTTGGATTATTAACTTGGAAAATTTTTTAAAGTCACTTTCCATTTTTATAACTCAGATTTTTGAGAATATTAATAAAATGTCCACAGTAGATCTGTGGGGCTATTTTTGCAGCTGATTATCCTTTCATTGGCAGAGGTAAGGAGGAAATCTTCTTTGGAGAGAAGTAACAAAATAGTTTCTTGAGGCAGCTACTAATAAAGATCCTTTTGATAAATTATCAAAATCCAAGATCATAAATAAGAACTTGTGTTATTTGTGACTATTATAAACTTGTAGAGGTTAGACTTTCAATCAAAGTCAAATGAACTTGTAATTTGAATTTAATTTTTATTTTTCCCTATTTATTGTTACTTGGGACAGATTGGACACTTCAACACTGACATGTCATTAAAAAAAATCAAGTGGATTATAGGAAATGATAGAGGAACCAAGTTTCAGATTAACAAAAGTTTTTTTTCTTAAATTTCCTAATTACATGCATTACTCCACTCTAATCTAAAAATAAAAACTAAGGAAAAAGATTTTTTTTCTTATTAATATAAATGAAAAAATAAAACCTAAATATCTTATAATTACCGTTTTAAAACAAACCCTTTCATTCAGGGATTTGATTTTTTTTCTTAGGTTTTTA